AACTACAGCTAGGCTGGCTGGGCCGTTTGGTTGGTTCACGGTTCCAAGCTGCATCTTTCTGCTGTGGTCAGCTTGTTTGAGGTGCTAGCAACATGCTGGGGAGATCGCAGAGGTGGATCCTGCCCTAAGGAGTCAAGAGCTTGATTCTCAGGGGCACAGTCATGTCACAAAAGCTCCAGTTGATGCCAGCTCATGTGGGTGGTCCCTGGTCATGCAGGTTCCCCACATGGGCTCTGTGATGAAGGGGGAGTCACGTGAATGTGGCTTCGCAAGACCCAGGCTGTTTCGGGCTGTGGCTGTGCAGGGCCTGCGGTCCCATGATGGAGAGGGGCACAAATAGAAACTGCACTGTGCTGTCGCTGTCTGCTCCCAGCAACTGCAGCACGAACTCCAGGGTGCAAGCTGGCTTGTTCTTTGCAGAACACAAACTTCCGGGATCCCGTGCAGCAGCTCTCACAGCAGCAAGTGGAAGAGATGAACCTCAAGTACTACAACTCAGACATCCACCGGGCTGCCTTCATCCTGCCTGAGTTTGCACGGAAGGTAAGCACAGCTGGGCTAGAGGGGCAGGACATGCCCCTGGCATGGTGCGTGGCTGCTGTTGAGGCCTAAGGGTTCCCCCTGCAGGGATGCTGTTGGCATCTACGTTGTGCAGCTCCCCATGGGAATGCCAGGGTCCTTGCTGGGCAGGGAATGCTCAGAGCCTGTTTGGGAACCTCCCTGTGCTCCAAAGCACATGGAACTTGTCATGCTGGGAGAGCAGGCAATCAGGATGTCTGTCCCCTCTCGGTCCTTGGGGGAGCTTGCCTGAGTCAGGCTTGGGGCTCTTGGGGTTTGCGGGGGGAGCCTGTACCATGTCCGTGCAGCACAGAGCACACCAAACTGCTTGGGGAGCGAGGCTGGAGCTACCCATGAAGCTGGTGGCCCTGACCTGTGGGGGCAGAGGGGGACTCATGGACTCCACTGCCTTAGCAGTGTATTGAATAAATATGCTGCTCCTCAGTGTGTCACGTTAGAGCCTCGGCCTTGGAGTCTGCCTGAGCAGAAATGTGCTTTTGATCCCCCAAGTCTCTAGGACAGACCAGCTCTTCGCTAGAGACCCTGCACAAGGGGTTGGCTGGGCAGCAGATGCTGGCACGAACCGAGGGCATGAGCATGGGAGTGGTGATGCTCTGAGATGAACATCCGCCCGCGCTGCCCAAGGGTTCGCCTATGTTTTGAACTGTCGGTGCTCCAAGTGTGCTGCCAGTCCTGAAGGTGCCGCTCCCCAGAAGGAGACGCCCTCAGTGTATCCCAGGAACCAGGGGCACCGCTGCATGCCTGCTGATGCTGTAACTGTGTCCAGCCACCCAGCCCAGTCCTAGTAGAGAGCAAAGCCTCTTGCTGTTTCTCTGGGCCCCAAACCGACTTGTTGCCTCCGGGCTGCCTGCAGGAGCTGAGCAACGTGTGAGGCTGGGATGCCGCTTCCTCCCTCGAGCTGGACCCCAGGACCTTCAGCGGTGCCGCACAAGGACTGTCCCAGCAGGCTACAGACTCTTCCCCGAGCCCTGGGATTTCACCCTTCGCCAGCCAACATTCCTTTTGACGACGCGTTCGAGATGGCAGGGCATGAGCCAGATGAGACTCGGTGCTCCAGCGGCTTGTTGCTTGGGGTCAAAACTGTTCTTTCCAGTACTGGGAATGTAAGATGTCTCCTCCCTCTGTTCCTGCTCTCTTCCCTTCCCCGGCCCTGCCCCCAGCTCACACGGTGTATTTATAACTGACATGTATTTCTGTCTAGCAATCTTCTGCCACTTGGGAACGGTCCAGAAGGTTCACTAACCGCCTTAAGCACAGGGAAAGGGGTTTGTGCAAGGAGCCAGCCTGCTCTCTTTTCAGAGAGCTCTGCTGCTGAGATATTGTTACTGGTAACAGGCCCAAACTGTTGCTACACTCCCTTCTCCTGGGACTTCTGGTGCCCACTCCATGGTTTACTTGGCAGAGTTGCGCTTCGTCCAGTCTGTTGCCATTCACAATAGGTATCCCTCCAATCCTGGTGGAAAAGCAGTATTAAATACCAGCCCACTGGCTGGTAGCGAAGTTTAGTGATTTTTTTTTTTTTAATTGGTCAAAAATAGTGCCGAGGTACTAACAAGGGAGATGCCTGCTCTAATCCCTGCCATCGGACCAATTCCAAAGAATGTTCCTCCATCTGGCAAAAGGCGCTTTGATATAATATATAAATTATACACCTTAGATCCATTGCCTCGTGCACAGCAGCCATGACTGAAGACAGGAGCCAGCCTCTCGCAACGGCCACTGTCTCTTAGCCATGGTTGGAAGACTTGGGCCCGGGGAGTTGTTGGTCTTTGGGAAGATGTATTGGGACAAGGGAGTTCTTACCCAAGCTCCTCGGCTTCATGGCGTGTCCTTTTGGGGTCGCGCGGGCTCGGTTCCACCTCCTGGGTCCTCGTTCTGAGCTCCGCACCACCGCTGCACAGTCGGGATCCTCCCCCAGTACTGTCACCATGCGGTTGTTGCTCCCTTGCAGTCAATTAAATGGTTGGCTCTGGTTGGTAAGGTGACAATCTGGTGGGTCTGTGTGTTTCTTTGGTGGGAGCAGAGGTGCCCCCGACTGAGCCTGTCCAGATGGACTGGCTTCTCCCCACCCTCTGGCCTCCGGGAAGATTAAGCCGCATTGAAGATTCTCTGTAAAAGATGTAGATGCACGTTTTGTCACAAGCCTACTTCATACTAGTTCCAGCTCCGGTAGCCTGCATTCCCCCGTCCAGTTACCCTGCTCCTCTCTATTTATAGGTCTACATCTCCAGGTGAGGCAGCGGTACATCCTCTATAAGCGTGCATCACTTCTTCCCTATCTGCTAGAGCACCACGTTTTATTTTCTGCTATGCAAGTGCTCTTGGCTGCCCCTGGTGCAAGCTGCTGGTCAGGCCGAGTCCCTTTAGCGGGTACAGCCTTGAATGGCCGCTAGGTGGCATCTACAGAATCAGACACGGGGTCTGTGCTGCCAAGGGAGAGTTTGCTGCATTTGGGTTATGGTAGCAGAGCTCGGTGGAGTGGCGTTTGGTTGTTGGTAGGTTTACGGCACAACCTCAGCTGCCGTGAAGGAAACCAGTAACAGTCTGCTGGCCTCCCTTTCTCGCCCTGTATGCCTGGTCCTTGTAGCCTCCCCTTCCCTTCGGTTCCCATCAGTGCAACTCTTCCATAGCCTGGAGGAGTTGCAAAGCAGTGCAAGAGAGCAGGAGCAAGAGCTGTGGCAAGCACAGAGGAAGCTTCCTGGCTTCAATCGGGTCAGGCCTTCCCATAGAGCAGAGACAAGCTGACTTAACTAGCTGTGATCACTCCTTTTACCCCTCGCACACACTGGGGTGAGGGAGCAGGCTCTCTCCCTGGAGTTCTCCTGCAGATGCAGTTTTCCTGCCCTGCTTGCTGTCTCTTCTGTCTTGGCCCTCTGAGGGGATGCCCTGTAGCCTGCGCTCTGGCTTGACGCCCAGAAGCTTGCAGTAGCTAGAGGATCTGATCCCACCTCCATGCCACCTGCAGCAGTAGCTGACTGGAATTGCAGCTGCTGGTTCCCTGTGAAGGGTACAAGTGTCAGCGTCTGGCTAGAGATTAGGGACCTTCTGGCTAATACTGGCACCTACCCCATACAGTTCTGCTCGTACACTTGTGAAGTAGAATCGCAAGATCTGCCAGCCCACAGCTTAGTGCATCTGCGACTTTCCACTGTACGCTGAAGAACATCTCGTGCCCAGGAGGTTATATGTCTGCATTTTAGGATAAGCCTTAAGCAGGAAGGGGAGGCTGGGCTGAAAGTGTGACCTTACTGAGATAAAGAAAAATGTGCAAATGAGATGCAGGTTCTGCTTCACCTCAACATTTTTCCATTTTCTTTATGAGAGATTTTGCTGCTCCGCTTTCAATAATGTCCAGCAGAAAATGTTCAGTGGAGTATTTCACGGAGACAGACCTAAATCAGACAAACACTTAACCTTTCATTCCAGTGGGAGTGTTGAGATATGGCTAGAAAGCCTTTGGCTTTTTTAGTGGCTACCCATTAAAGGATGAAGCACTTGTCCTTGGACAGGCGTGTGGCTGGCTGAATGGGGGTTGGTGGCATAGATGGGAGCAGAGGAAAGCACAAGAGGACCCCTTTTGGGCAGTTCACTTTCCCATAAAAGTGGGTTTAAAAGAAATAGGAAGAAGTAAGCACCCTCGCCACTGCCCTCCCCTGCCCTTCTGAGGGAGGGGATGGTTTGTGCTCTGCTGTGTGTCCATGGGGCTGGGGCAGCAGGGTGGGAAAGCCCTTTGTGCTGAGCATTTGAGATGGGTCAAAGCATGAGTTGCAGGTACTAGATTAGAGCACAATGACGGTGAGCG